AATTCTTCACAATTTTAAATCTTGAATTTGATGAGAATTCGTATCTATGAGTGCAAAATATGGTTTAACAAATTAATTTTTTATTATTATTCCAGCTATACTTCTTTATACGATTTTTTGTGAAAATACAAAAGTAAATTCTTAATTTTAAATCAGCCGTACATTAAATAGTACAAATTTGTTGAAATTACAAAAATAATTTTTTACTTTTAAACAGACGTAAATTTAAATCAGTTATAAAAAAAGTAATATTTGTTTAACATTTAAATATTAAATCAGCCGTAATTAATGTTGTTTGTTTTAGTTGCCACGATTTTCTCCAAACTAAATTAACAACTACCATGATTTAAGGGTAACATTTAATGCTGCTCTATTTTTAGGAGACATTAAATGTATTTGGCGGGAAAAACTTGCTAAAAATGTTAAATGGTTAATCTTTTAATATAATGATAGATTTGACCCTATCGGCAATTGTAGTGCAGTCTTTTTTTTACTATTAAATTAATACAAATTCGTGTGGATATATGTCAGTATATGTTAATTAAAGGGTAAAAAAATGAATGGCTGTCGAAAAATAGTGTTTTCACCGAATTTTTTACCATTAGTCACACAAATTCAAGCACACTCATTTAAATAATAATAATAATAAAATGTGTCGAGAAGGGTAAGTTCGTACAAGCATCGAGTTGGATCACCACACACCCGTATAAATACGTGTGTTTATATATTAATTCAATCATAAAATATCTAGAAACAATTTCTTTTATGTCCCGACCCGAAGATATATTAAAATTTCACTCTAACTTTTTCACTTCAAAAAATGCAAAGGTTTTGTGAATGGTTCGCATACCTGTCACATATCAATCACATAACTGTCGCATCTTCAACTTATAAAGTGCGAAAATTATACGAATACCTTCGAATTTTTAACTTTTGCATAATGTCATTCGCACAATTATCGCATCATTATCTCATAGTGCATTTTGCACTTTCTGAGGTGAACAGTTAATTATCTTTTGATCTGGTGGGGTGAAAAAATTTATTTTAGTCTTCACAACGAGGTATAAATCAGTGCTTTAACTATCGTATCGGTGATCATATCGGTCTAGCCACCGATACGCAATATCACTGATCGGACGGTAATATAGGTGGTATTATCGAATTATCAAATATAATGATATATATAAATATACATATAAATGTATAATGACAAATAAAAAAAGTAAAGAAATAAAACATTAATTTAAACTTCTCAATGAGATAAAAATAAAATATTCTAATTACTAATTTAAATTTTATATTTTTAAATTAATAAATTTTATTTTTTTTATTTTTATTTGTTGACCGGTATTTTTCGGTATGATTTTGGTACCGTAAATCTGGTATTTTTCGTGTAATTGTACTGTACTAATAATCAATATCCCGTTTTAACATTACTGGTAGGCTGGTAGCCGTTAGGAACCGATTTCACGTGCTGCTCACGTGAGCAAGAAAATGTCTTGGACTTGTAAAAAATTGTAAAAGGTACCTTTTCCAATGCCGGAAAACGACGTTTGGTGGGAGTACCAAACACGGCCTACAGACAATTGTAAAGACCGTGCTCAGACGATATTTCTCTTTTT